CAAAAGGACAGCAACTTGTCTGTTCCCCTTCCCCCAATTCCCCAGCACTGTTACCATCCCCCCAATTCCCCAATAAAAAATCTTTAAAAAAAAACAGTATGAAGACGTCCTTTTGACCATGTTGATGAGATAATCCAAGTCCTAAGGAGATGAATGCTGGAAAACCACACACACACACACACACACACACATACACGGAAGGCCTTTCAGTAAAGATAATGCTGAGACATCTTAGTCCAGGACACTCTAGCCTTCAATTCAAAAAAATATAAGGATACTAGAATTAGTTCAAGTCAAAGTAGAAACCTTAATTGGTTCTTGGGACAAAGGCCTAAAATAAATTCCAGTTTCTATTATCAAATCTATTTCTCATGAGAGAATAATAATAGTGAAGCAGTACTAGCAGCAGTCTGGCCTGCCTGGCTCCCTTGCAAGGAGCTTGTTAGCTAGATGGCCTTCTGGTTTCAAGGGGAAGATGTTGCTCATGAAAAAATAAAAATCAGAGCCTGCTTCAACTCTCAGGGAGCATCTCTCCACCTGAGAATTCTCCTCCCTTCTGCTTTGGCGAGTCTGCCTCAGGGTATACATGAATGAAGACTGGGTCTCGAGGTCATTCACAAAATCAGGCACTTGTAGAGCTTGCTAGAAAGCCCAAGGCTATGAGAAGGAATACTTAATCATAGTTAAGAAAAAGCATGGACTCTGAAGGCAGCCTCACCTCCATACAAATGCCAGCCCTTCCCCTTACCTGGTGGATAACTCTGATGATGCTTAACATTTGTAAGCCTTAGTTGCCTCAACTATAAAATGGAAATAATAAAAATGTCTACTACATAAGCGTTGCTGTGAAGATAAAATAAGGGAACAAAGTGCTAGCAGTTCCAGACATTTAGTAAGAACTCACAAAACATTCATTATTACTTGATGTATGCTTTTAATGTCACTATTAATCTTATCAAGTCAATGCCAATATATTTTTGGCAGCTCCTAGGTACAGCATCCAAACATGCCTGGTTAAGCTACTATCTCCCTCTGAAAACATTAACCATGTTTATAAAACAATTCCTCTGGCAGCACTCCTAACTCACCAGCTGCGTTATTTGTCCACCATATAGCTGTAGTCTACTTTGCTCCTTTTCAACTATACTTTCAATCCCTCCTGGCGTGTGTTCTGAGTTACACACCCTACACCCTTGTCCAATTGTTAAATTCTAAAGAGTGCTGAAGTCTTCAAAAGGAATGCTCTGAGTACCCATTTATCTCATGGATCAGAAGAATCTGCCCTACTGGCAAGTAGAGTATTCCAACGTGGTGGTGGTGGTGGTGATGATGATGATGATAGCTGATATTTATATCATATTTAATATGTATAGGAATATGCTTTATAGATATTACCTTATTTAATCCTCACCACAACTCCATATACTATTACGCACATTTAAGAGATGAAAATACTGAGGCCCAGAGACATTAAGTGGCTTTCCAAAGTGAAGTCCTAGTGAAGTCATACAACCAAATTTGTACACAGGCAGTGTGACTGCAGAATTCACTGTCTGCCACATGGTGCAACGTACCTGGGCGCCATACAGCTCTGATTTTGAACCTACCTCAGTCACTTACTAACTGTATGATCTGGGTGACTTTCTCAACAAGAATTTTTCTCATGCAGCCAAAATACCTATTTTATAGATTGGGGGAAGATAAAACCAGTTCCTGACCCATAGTTGATCCTCATTATATGTTCCTTACCCTTTTGGGGACAACCATCATTCATACCCCATCATTTGGGCAAAAGCACAAAATCCTATGCTCAAGGGTTAATGAATTTTTCAGTTTAATAAATCCATTCCTACTCAAATGGGTAATACAACTTTAGAAACTCCTGTTTCCTCAACCCTTGACTTCCTTTAGTACCAAATTCCTATTCTCCTGAGCAGCCACTGAACCAAGTTTTGGGGAGAGGATTCCTGGTTGAGGTCTCCCCAAATTCACTCACTGCTCATATCTCTTCCATACTCTCAGGATCTCCTTGAGTTTGAAAGGAGCTCTGGCTGATGGAAATAGCACCAGGACAGGATTGGATGAGAGAGAGAGAGATGGGTAGAATCAAAGCATACTGATGTTTGTCGCCAAAATCAAGATGGAAAGGACCCTGAACTTAGGGCTAAACTCTAACCCAGGTCTTCTAACTCTCTTACCTTGAGCAAATTACTTCTCACTTGAGCATAAAATATGGAATGGGTCTAATCCCAACCTCACAGGAGTTTGTGAGGGTTAAATAAAATGAGAGAAACACTTGGCATGCCTCAAGTACTCATTAAAGGTTGCAGAAGCACATGAACATGAAAAGGCTAAATGGAAATAAGAAGAGAACATAGGCTCTAATACTTGCTGAGTTCTTTGTTAGTCCATTCACTCACTCAACAGACGTAGACTGAGCATCTTAGCATGTGCAGGGCAGTATGCTAAGTGTCCAGGCATCAAAAAACAAGAAAAGACACTCCCCATGTTCCCTTTTTCCCAAGAATCCACACTCTTCACTCGTCTGTGTCACCTACTAAAGTGAGAGAAATGTTCTAATAGGAATAAGTGTTGGATGCTATGGGGATTTGTAGGTAGCAAGTCCACACTTAGGCCCCAGGAAAGGCTTGAGTAGAAGTGTCTTAAGTTAGGTCCTAAGGATAAGTCTAAGATAATGAGCTAGAAAGAAGAGAAAAATATGTGTGAAATCTAGCGGGTAGGAGCACCCAGGAGCATTCAGGATGGCTAAAGAGTGCATTGAGAGGCAAAAAGTAAGAATTGACCAAATCATGTATGGCCTTATCAGCCAAGTTCAGGAGTCAGGAATGTATCCTAAGTGTAATGAAGAGCCACTGAAGAGAAAGAGCATGCTTGTTCCATTATGAAGAATGGACAAGACTGAAAGAGCAAAATCCACTTAGTGCAGACATGGTAAATATGGAGAAAGATGAATTTGAGAGAGATTTAGGAGACAGAATTACAAGACTTGAGAACTGATTGTTTATAGAGAATAAAAAAAAGTCAAGGATTCCTTTCAGGTTTCTGATTCAGGCAACCGGTGGACAGTGCTACCATATTTATGGGGCATAACTGGTTCGGGTGAGAGAAGATTCTGGTGTCAGCTTGAACATATTGCGTGTGAGGGTTGGGCCCCAGCAAAAGGGAGATGTCCCACAGTGGTTGGGAACATGGACTAAAAAGATCAAGAGGGCCATCTGAGCTGCAGGTAGTGAGTTAGGAGTGGGAACCAAAGAAGTGTTTAGTTTATCCTTGAAGAGAGGGTAGAGTGAGAAGAGCAGGCAATTTAGTCTAGAACCCTGGGGGTGAATAACACTTAAGGAATCAGCAGAGGAATAAGAGTCAGTGAAGATGGAGGGAAAGTAGAAAAGTTTGGGGGAAGCGTGTTTCAAAAATCAGGGTTTGGAGTGCAATGCCCATTACTGCCTAGAGGTCAGGTTATATAAGGAAAAGAACTGTCTCTTGGTTGTAGCAACAAACAGGTCATTATTGACCAGGCAAAGGCAGTTTCAATCTGGAGGCAGAGAGAGAAGTCAGCTCGCCATAGGTTGAAAACTGAATGAGAGGTGAGGAAGTGGAGACATTATGTATAATCAACTTATTCAAGAAGATTGACTGAGAAGGTAAGGACAGGGAATGGTAAATGGAAGGGGATAAAAGAGAGAAGAATTTTGGGTTTACTTTTAAAGTCACCAGGGGAATGTCTGACCAACTCTGGGGAAGTTCAACTCTGGCCAAAAGCAGGATATGGGAGTTTATGGTTCACATGTGGAAAATCTCTTCACAGGCAAATACTTGCATTTTCTTTCACAATGAGCCCTGACCATTAAGGAAACCCTGTTGACCTTAGGAGCTTTAAGTCCACNGCGAACGCTTGAAGGAATAATGCACTGAGTATCTGCTCATTATCCCAAATCCCTGGAGTGTACCACACTGCTTTAGTTGTGTCCCCTGGGAAAAGAGCATCCATGGTTCTGCATCTTGAGAGAAAGGGGAAGCTGGCATGAATGTCTCTTCAATTCAAACTGATACCTCCAGCAGCATCCATTCAGACAATAATACAGGTGAGAAAATTAGATGGTTACGAAGCATTATTTGGCCAAGACACACAGCACCATGCATGCCTATCACTGACTCACAACAGATCCTCTAAGCCTCAGCTAACAGATTAAGTAAACATAGAAATATATGTATTTTGTTTCCTTTTTAAAGAAAGCTTGTTTATATCCTCTTTTACCATAAGATACGCTAGGGAGTTTATGCAAGAATTTGCTGAGTCATGTCCTTATTTTTCACGTTTCCAAGGTTCTTCCTCAACATTGCAGTCGGCCGACTTCCCGTTGGCTGCCAGAGTTACCTGAAAACAATTATCATCAACATCCAGCTTACAAAGCCATGAACCAGAAAGCCACCCTGGGGGTTATGTGGAGAGCACCGGACCTGGGGTTAGACTGCACAGCTTAAATATTAGTTTTAAATATTGTTCCTCCCAAATTGATTTTGAGCTGGTTACGGTTTTCAACACCGACTTTAAACATTAAACATTAAACATTTGAACATTAAAAAAATACATATTTGCCCTGGGGGGTAGTGAGAGACTAGAGAAGCACTTTGCAATTTGAGGGGATAACTTCAACAGTGCTTATAGGGTTGTGGGGGTGTTTAACTACCCATAGGCTGATGACACAATAATGTAATCCTTAAAAACCAGTACACGTGTGCTACTCCATACAACCACAGAGAAAAAAAAATCCAGAACTAGGAAGCTAGTTCTACTCATGCATGTGAAAGGTTCAGTTGCAATGAGGCCAGGTGAATTTTATACATGTCCAACTTTAAAATCAGAAACCATGATGGTTGGTATACCAAATAAGCTATCCAGGTTTTAAAATTAAAAATAAAAGGGGGATTAAAAGCCTGAGTTCAGTGACATACATATCAAAATTACTTCAATGCAGACATTTAATAATCAAATATAATCACCAGACTGTCTATATTATGCTTCCGTGGCTCTAAGCAGACTGAACCCTTACACAGAACGGGGGGTTCTTCCCTCCACTTCTACACAGATTTCCTAGCTTACCTTCCATCTGTCTGTCCTCAACGTCATGTGCAAACCTTAAACCCACGATTGATATTCCACATAATGGAGAGACTGGATTTATGGAAGCATTAGAATATGGAGACATGACAAACGCAGCAATGTTTGAAAGAAATCTGATCTTCTTACCCAAGCGGAAGTGAAACGCATGCGTTATGAACACACACAACATGCTCAGAACAGAAAAGCAAGTGGCCTTCACGAGCAAAGCAAATGAAAAGAAAAACTAGTCTTTTTCCTCCAATCCCCATTAGGCCCCCCACAGTGTTTTAGAAAGACCATGCAACAAGCAATGACCACCTCACATGCAGTTATTATGATTATAATAAAAAAGCTATTGCATAACTTTCAAACTACTATTACAAGGCAAGAGTTTGAAAATAGAGAGACCAATGTGACATAACAATGCTTAACGTGGTTAAAATTTTGACCAGAGCTGCAGCAAATTTGTTTTCCCTTCAGTGAACTTTCAGGAGAGATTTCCAGGAAGGAACCAACTGTCTGCCTGAAGAAAGCTGCCTGTTCACTCTGACCTTGAATGTGCCTATTGGGCTTTCAGTGATGAACCAGATCAATAGCTGTGCAAAATTATATTGGGTTGTCAGAAAAGTCATGATGCATTTTGCAGCAAAAAACAGAAAAAATACGTCATGACTTTTCCGACAACCCAATAAATCACAGTGTGGTGTCTTTCGAAAACCAGACAGCCTTTGGGGATGGGGGTCTTCCTTCCTTC